TGCACTAAGATGATTAACACTCAACTAACTGATGATGACAAGAATGCTATGGTTAAGCTAACAAAAGCTTTTGGAGAAAGTTTTTGGAACTATTCTGTGTTTGTCCTCACTTTTGCTAACCTTGAAAATGTTGCAAGAAAAGATGACAGAGATGCTGACGAGGAAGAACCAGATGAAGATGATGAGGAGGGATGGAAAGAATTAGAAAAAAGAAGATTTACAAGACGGTTGGAATTATGGAAAAAAGAGCTTCAAAGTTTTTTAGTGGAAGAACTTAAAGTAACACCAAAAATTGTATGCAACATTCCTGTCAGTTGTACCAGTTGGTGATAACAAGGAGACACACAAGAATCCCAAGTATATTACCTTGCCCGATCGTAAAAATTGGTTTGATGATTTTTGGGAGGAATGTATTGAGAGAAAAAAGGAAATAAATTAATTCTACATCTTGGAGAAATTGGGTCTAGATCTAGAGGTACCACTGAGTATGAACTGCTTAAAAAGCATAGAAATGAATATCAGGTAAAAGTCTTGATCAAAAGTAGACTTAGGTCTATATATATATATTGAATTATGATTTTAATTTGTGTCACTCTTTACCTTTTAGGAAGCTAAGACAAGCAGCACTGAAAGATTTGAAGCCACTAGAAATGTTAGTTTACATCAAAGTGATATTACAATAGACTTTAATCACTATATTTTACAGTTTTTTGTATACAAAGAGTTGAAACAAAATACAGAGGTAGTTTGACTTTAAAATCCATAACTATCTAGATATATGATTATTAGATCTATTTATACAATTTTTGTAATAAATTCTCATGGTGGCATGACTATAATAAACCATAGTTATAAAATGCCTCTCCCAGAGTCTCTAAAGAGACTAAATAGGTGTGGCTATTCCTATATGGCTAGCCATAGATAATAGAGTAAATGAATTTACTCTATTATCAATTTAATAGAGTAAAAGTAATTTCATTTACTCTAATATCTATGGGCTAGCTTACGTCGACAGCTATGAAGTACTAGAGCTTCAGTTTAGACCCGATCTCCTTGAACCAGCAGCTCATCTTCTCAATGAACAGTGGCCTAGAAGTTTAGAGGTAAGGTCAGTGTAGTTATAATGATATACAATGCTAAAAGTATGAGAAGTGTTTAATGGAGGGAAGACATCTTATGGTGGGTTTTCACCAACATATGTTAAGACTATGATATCTGATGGATATAGACTTGAAGCACCTTCAAATTCAGCATGCAATGATGATATGTAAGGAATACATTAATGAGTTGCATTATTAGTATAATCATCATGCTTATAGATATCAGAAGACAATGCTAAAGTGTTGGGAGAGGGATCCTAATTAGAGACCAACATTGACAGATATTGATAGACTACTATCAAACAGTGTTGGATACTTGGACCTTACTAAATGAGTCCAATTGACTGTACAATCGCATACTATATACACACACACATGTAGTATTGTAACAATATTTTGTAGTGCTAAGCATTATCTTCCACTTAATGAGATCAAGTAGATGTCTTCAAATTTATGTCATGTTGAAGCAATAAAACCAGCTTATTCAGCTAACAGTAATAACAGTACACAGTGGCAAAAAAGGCCTATACTTCAATATCTAATAAAACAATCTCCATTAAGACCATTGCCAAGCCTTGATTGGCACAGAGTCTTCAATTTTAATTAATACTATAAGTTTTCAAAGTCACTATACAACAATCAGCAGAGAAGACCATGAGTTTGTTCAAGAGAATTACAGCCTTGACCATTGATTAAGTCTTTGTATTTAAAACTAAAAGTATATTTCTCTTATGAGTGTCCAGGCAAAAGTGTACAAGGAGAGCTGTTCACTAAAATATGCATCCATGTTTCCTCCACCACAGAAGGCAACTTGTCAACAAATTACTTGACATGTCCACACATTTAACACATAGAGCTAGGTAAAGTACCAGGACAAACTCTATACCACTTATAAGTGTACACATACAGAGATATTGCACTGACAATTGAGCATTCACATCAAAAATACAAAATTTAAAGTAACATTGCACAGCCCAATGCATGTATCAATATCAAACACAACTATAACAATACAGCATAGCAAAGCGAACCAATCATCAATAATTATCACTAATTTTGAAGCAAAAACCAAATAAAGCATAGTAAGTACAATTATATATAGGACAAACATTTATGTGCAATTCAAAAACTTTTAATTTATAGGAAAATTGGCAAATTAACTTTTAATATTGAGCTCTGTACATCTATCTCACAACATGGCAGTTTGACTTAATAATATTCATTGACAAGACACAATGATGTCAAAAGAAGCAAGAACTTCATTTATTGCAATTTGTGAAGCATAAAGTTAAAGTCATCTTATATACGTACAGCCCAATACATAAATCAAAGTTTGTTCTCTAATAAAATGTGACTAGTAAAAACCTACATGTATGCTTGTAGCTCTAACCTGATTCCCTAATGACTGGATGAGCTGTTATGAGGCCTCAATTCCTTGGGAGGTGACATCCTAATGATAGTAAGGAGAATATTATGAATGAATTTACATTAAATCACTTACAACACAAGAAATGAAATCTAAAGTCCATTTATTTGAAATTGAACACATGTTTCCACGTGACTACATTAATTAGTTTATTTAAAGCCACACCTACAAAGCCCCACCTTAATCTACTACCACACCCATCAATTATGGCCATTGTGAAACGATCAAAGCGAGGGACCTGGAAAGCGAGCTGCAAAGGCACTCAAGTAGTGGTAGCTAACATGGCCACTGATCTGATAGTCAGCCATAGATTATCAAATTAAAGGTAATACCTTTTATTGTTCTTTAATATTTAATTAATCTAATTAGACGTCACTTCATTAATGTATTAATTAAGTGTGTGTGTGTGTGTGTGTATCCAATTTTCTTATCAGTTGTAAAAAAACTTGTACTTAAGCATCAGAAAATATAATAAAAATGCATAATTTTTAAAATTTTAGTTTGATGAAATACATGTACATAGTCTCGCCCCGCCCTTTCGCTAGCTGTGGAGGAAGGGTCTGGAGACACTCATGGTAAAAATGTGTGCAAAGAAGACCACGTGGTTGGCTCTACATTATGTAACAGAGAAGACCAGATCAGTCAAAACAGCTGAAAGAGATGCTTTGCAGCTAAAAGAAGACAAGGACTGAGTCTCTTGGACATCTCTTGCAGATTTGAGAGCAGCAGCTCTTCACAGAGCATGATAATATTTACTTTTTATTGATGACGTTTTATTGTAAACACGTGACAGTATGATTACGTCATAAGTGCCATGGCGTCGTTGTAGTAAGCAGCATAATAATGCTGCTCTTAAACCTTGAGAAAGAAGTCCAGGGAGTGTTACAGGCTCCTTCCAGCCTTTATTTGGTCCTCATTCTTCTCTTATCTTAAACAGAGCTCTTCGGTCACACGACTACTTGTCCTACACATGGTTCAAGCAATTTGATTAGGACATGGATTTCTTTGCATGAAGCAAACATTTTTATTGTGAGTGTCTCCAGACCCTTTCTCCGCAGGTAGCGAAAGGGCGGGACCAGACTAACATGTACAGTACATGACCAAAGACCATGGTACTATATTGGAAGTCCATAGGCCATTGCTTTTTTTCAAAATTATCTCATTTTAAAGATGTTCATAACTCAAAAATAATTTGTTGGAATCAACTCAAAACTTTCTACATATCATAAAAACATCAATGTGTATCAGAAAATGTAATAAAAATTGGGGGTGATTTTGGATCCAATTTTCAGAAAAACCATGGGCTATAGTATAGCCTTTGCTATTTTTTTTAATTTGCTTGATTTTTAAAATGCTTATAACTCGAAAATTATTTGTCGGAATTAACTCAAACTTTGTACATAGCATAAGGACATCAATGTGTATCAGAAAATGTAATAAAAATTGAGGGTAATTTTGGAGCGATTTTTTGAAAAAAACCATGGGCTATATAATGGCCATTTTTTCAAAAATTGGCCCATTTTTTAAATTGCTCATACATGTAACTTGAAAAATACTTGTCAGAATGTGCTCAAACTTTCTACGTAGCTTAAGGACATCAATTTGAATCTGAAAATGTAATGAAAATTAGGGAGTAATTTTCAGAGTCAATTTTTAGAAAAAAGACCACGGGATGAGTACAATTGGTGTATATGTGCAAAAATGCGATCAGAAGAGGGTTATCTGAGTGGCACTTGCTCAGGCTTGCCCCAATAACATGCACTTATCAGTGATTGTTTTTGTGGAGAGCAAACTTGCTCATCAAAAATAATATTGGGACCTTATTTTAGACCCTAATGTTGCTGCATTCATTGTTGTTACTGTTATGATAGCAGTAAGCTTGGTACTTATGTATTAGACCAAAATTTTAGTTCTTAAAAACATGTATCTTTTCTGGCCCTCAACTCAATAACCTCTGATCATATTAGCTTAATGGGCTATATACCGTATAAGCAGGTTTATTCAAGAATTGCAAATTTCATGGATTTTGCGGATTCCTTCCCGATTTGCGAAATAAAATCCACGAAAATCAATTTAATGCAGTACTGCATGACGCATGTGGTAGATTTTGTGAAATTTAAATCTGCGAATTGGAATTTTAGCAGAATTCGCAAAATATAATTCCCTTGAAAAAAACCACTTATACGGAAGTATGTACTCGCCCCAATTAACACATCTCTTGATAATAATTACATGTCTCAGGTGGTGCATTGTTTAGATAGGAACAATTAAGAAATGCTCCAAGAGGTGCTTGTTTAGAGAGGTGTATAGCTAAGTACGCAATACACCTGTAAGCAATGGGACTTGCTAATTTCAATGCTCCTCTCAAAAATAATTGTCTTGACAAGGAGGTGCACTCAATGGAAATTTTTTATTGTGGAAGCCATGTAGAGGTGCAATAGTTAGGAGGGTCTGTTAATTGGGGCAAGTATGGTAGATAATGTTTATTATACTGTTAATTTGTGTATGCATAATACCAAGAGTGGATAATAATAATTATCCACTCTTGATAATACTATAGAGAGCCAAATTAAGCCCAACATACACGGGGCAACATGTTGAATGCAACATTGAAGCAACATGTTGTATTCAATATGTTGCCTCGTGTATAATAGCAAATTTGTTGCATGCAACTTCCAAGCAACATGTTGCTTCAAGTTGAAAAATTTCAACTTCAAGCAACATGTTGCTTCAAAACATCAAAGGTAACTAGGCAACACATAAGGAATGCAATAATAACTTCAGCCTTTTATTCATAATAATAATTATTATTAAAATAGCAAGTAACATGTTTCCCCTTTTGTTCAACAGTGTGCTACATGTTGAATACATCATGTTGCTTGATGTTGCATTCAACATGTTGCCCTGTGTATGTCGGGCTTTAGGCACATAATATGGCCCTGTAAAAGTATAGATATCAAATTACTTACATTGTGATATGATAAGATTTAGTAGTTACAATAGCTATACAATTACTATGATAACTCCATTGTTTTAGCCCTGTTTTGTATAGAGGCCCCACCAGTTTTTAGCCCCATTTATGCCTCGCCTAGCTGTAAATGATAACCATATATATTCTATCAAAACTGTTTTTCATTTATGCATGTATATAAAACTATAAAACTCATGTATTCTTTTGAGTGGGCAAAATAGAAGTGAGGGTATTGGAAGAGATGCTTTTTAATCTTATTCTTTATTTTCATTCCATGTTTCTTACTTTTTATTTAGATAATTAAATTGTTAGGACAAGTACTTTTAGAGTCACTGCAATGTTATACTATTACCATAGGTGGAGGGACTCTATCAGAGTATCGTAATGTGCCTCAGGTAAGTGAAAACATTTTAAAGCAATAATAATCTTTAAAATACAGGTCATTGGAGACAAGGGTCTAATGTATTTCAGCTAACATTTCTCAGAAGACTGAATTTTGTAAAAATACGAAAAAACGTAACAGTGATCAAACTTTTTGCAGCACTGATTTGCAGTTTGCACATAGATACATATAATTGTTTTTTAATTGTTTGTACCAATTGTAAAGATAAGAATGGATAAAAAAGATTTTTAGTGTGGTTTTTGGGAGTGGCCATAGCTCATATTATTATTAGGCTGGCTACGCGAGACTAAGCTCATTGTCATGCGTTGATTGTTCAATTTTGAGTTCGGCTCGGAGTTCTGTAAAGACATTATTTTCTATGGTAAGACTGACTCCTCTTTATTAATGCCATTTTATATTGTTATTATCCACTAGGCTATGGCTAAATTGCTGTTAGCATTAACAGTAGCACGAGTACTCATAGCTGCTGTAGCTGGTGAAATACTACAGATAGAAGTTAATGGCGAGTCTGGTAATGACACTGAAGATTGTCTCAGTGGCGAGGAGCCTTGTGCAACTTTAGATTATGCCCTAAATGGGACGTCGTCAAGCGTCTCTTCCGTCCATTATCTCCTCGCTCCTGACGTACCCCACGAGCTAAGAAACAACTACAGCTTTTATGATGGAACTAACATCAGGATATCCTCCTCTTTAAATGGGAATAGAGCATACATCGAGTGCATAGGTAATAACACTGGTCTGTCATTTGATCATTCGCAGAATTTGAGTTTTTGTGACGTTACATTTAATCACTGTGGTTCTTCACATGTCACCACAAGTAGTGATTTCAGTAACTTCGAAAGCAATGGCACTTCATACCTCTACACTAACATAACCCTCTTCTTTATATTTTGTCGTGACGTCACTTTCGATGGTGTCGTAGTCACTAATAGTACTGGGACTGGTGTTGTGTTCTACAGCACTATTGGTAACAATTTCATATCCAATTCTAATTTCACTTACAACAGACCAGTAGAAGACAAGCCTGGAGGAGGTGGAGTGGCCGTGGAATATATATACTGTATTCCTGGTGATCCCAGTTGCAGTGAAAAATCTGGAAATTCTTTTAACTCGACTTATTCAAACGGGGGCTCGTTTACCTTCCGATTATGTAATTTTTCTGATAACGAAGCAAATACCAGCAATTTTAATGGGGATTCCTTCATTGTCCCTCATGCTAATACTAATGTGGCACTAGGTCGAGGTGCTGGACTATCTCTGCTACACAAAGGTAATATTACGAACTCTAGGATCCTTGTGGATAATTGTACTTTTATCCATAACAAGGCTGTCTGGGGTAGAGCTATGCTGATTGAATTTCAGGACACCAGTAAAGAGAACGAGGTGAACATTACAAATTGTTATTTTTATCGGAACAGGTGCTTTTTTGATTCTTGTAATTATGCTGGAACTGGAGGCGGTGGAGTAAGAGTCCAATTTGCATCGTTTCATGACCACGTTATTAAGAATAAAGTGAGATTTATTAACGTTACATTTCATAAAAACCATGCTTATTTTGGAGGAGGACTCTCGTTTTTCACTTTTCCAACATACAGAAATAGGTCCAGTAGCAACGATCTTTTCTTTTACAATTGCACTTGGAATAAGAACATTGCTAGGCTCGGCTCAGCAATAGATCTCTCACTTTGGAACATTAAAGGTTTTAGTGATGGCTCTCTTGTAGTCTCACCCTATTTTGAGGAGTCTACATTTGTCAATAACACTATCAAATATACTAAATACTATGGTACTCCCACTGGTATTGGTGCAGTATACACTGACTCTGTGCCTCTCAACTTCACTGGAAATAATAACTTTTCAGGCAACATTGGTTCTGCTCTTGTTGCTTTAGATGCCACCGTAGAGTTCAGAAATAACTCTCGCACCTATTTGAAGGTAATGAAGGCTTGTCTGGAGGAGCAGTGACATTATTTAGCAAAGCATTCCTTTTGTTTGGAGGCAAATGTAGTACTATTTTCCATAATAACAGTGCTACTTTACATGGTGGTGCCATTTCTTGGCAGAGTGTTGGGGATTATCAATTGATTTCATCACGTAACTGTTTTATTCGATATTATAATACAAGTGCAGATCCTACTGATTGGAATGTCACGTTTAATTTTGATGGCAACAAGGCTGGGTTTTCTGGTGATGCTATTTATGCCACATCGCTCCTTGGATGTCTGTGGGGTGGTAAGTCATACGGTAGCCTTTACAACAACACTAAAAAGGAATATCTAACTGTCTTTTGTTGGAATAACAAAACAAAGATATGGAACTATAATAGCGAATGTAACAGTACTAACAGTACTAATCTTATTGCTACTTCACCTGCTTATTATTCTAATAAAACAGATGGTACACAGTGTGGAAAATATGAGCAGTACAATATATCTGTTGTGCCTGGAAAACCTACAAAATTGGATGCTGTCATGATGTTAGATGATCGACAGAATAGAATTAGCCAGGATTCTGTAGTATACATGTATACTACTTGGAACAATGAAACCAAGAAAAATGAAACAAGGTATGTCACTAATGAAGCACTACCCTATAATATAACTAGTAAGATTATAGACTTGGGTACTGTAATACCTCGTGTAATGGCAACAACCGTGAATCTTAGTTTCACTGCTTGCCCACCTGGTTTTTCTAATGAACAGTATGGAGAACCATGCAAACGTGGCAATCTTCCATTTGTTAACATTTATAGCAATTTCTCAGCTGACATACAGTTTGGGTACTGGATTGGTAAAATAGATGATGCCGATAGTCGTTATTATGTTGGTGAGTGTTATTTCTGTCCCTGGAACATTACCACTATAAATGGAAGTCGTGTAGTTCATCAGAATTACATTCATCTTCCTGAAAATGAGACACAATTGGACTCGTTTCTTTGTGGTGGGTTGAACAGGACTGGTACCCTTTGTGCAAAGTGTAAGCATAATTATTGTACTGCTGTTAATTCGTTAAAATACAAATGTATTGACATTGGCTCTCATAAGCATTATTACTCTTACACTTGGATATTTTACCTGTTGTTTGAGTATGTTCCAATCACACTTCTTATGATAGTCGTTATTATTTTCAATGTTTCAGTTACCTCAGGCCCAGCAAACGCGTTCATTTTCTTTTCTCAGATTATCTCAAGCACATTTAGTGTTGATGCTGATGAACAGATTAATTATGAAACTATTACCAAAGTCGCTCCAGGCATTAAGCAAGCCTATATCTTCCTTTATGGTATATGGAACCTTGATTTTTTTAATGCAATTGATTATGATGGCTGGTTGTTCTGTTTAAGCCCAAAATTTGGTGCTTTGCAAATCATGACTCTAAAATATATAGCTGCAGCTTATCCTCTAGTTATCATAGTCCTGATTGTATTCTTGGTGTGGTTATATAACAAAAACTATCGTTTTGTTGTGTGCCTTTTTTGACCAATTCATTGGTGCACTGCTCGCTGCATGAGGTATCTTAATATAGATCGCTCATTAATGGATGCATTGGCAACTTTCTTTATTCTTTCCTATGTCAAGTTTGCTGTTACTGCATGCTATATTCTTTACCCAAATCCACTTGTGTATGACACTGCAAAGCGATCTAAATTTGTTGCTTATCTTGATGGTGATGTGGATTATGGATCACCTGATCACATCCCCTATCTACTCATTTCTGTAGTGGCTGTCCTCTGGTGTATCCTGTTGCCTCTGATATTGTTTTTCTATTCTACTCGGCGATGCTATACTTTTCTCGATCAAACCAAAAAATTTCGTTGGTTGGAGCCCAGTGATTTATTCTATCATTTCCTCAATTCCTTCCACCATTGCTTCAAGGATGACAGACGCTATTTTGCTGCTTTCTATTTCTTCTTAAAGCTTATACTCATTGGAACATATGCTCTTGGCTTTGATTGGACAAAGCAATACATATACCAGCAAATTGTATGTACACTGGCAATCCTTCTAGTTGGCACCCTTCAACCATATAGGGAAATGAAGTATAATTTCCTTGACATGGGAATGTTTTCTATCCTTGCTGTAGTTAATGTCCTCTCTCTTTACAGTCGCCATCAGCAAGCTGTCAATATCCCACTCTCAAAAGTTACTTTCTACTCTCAGGTCATTCTAATATTTATCCCCCTGGTGTACTTCACTTTATACTCTATATATTTCATAATAAGAAATGTGTTTAGATGCAGAAGGAGGTGCAAAATTGGCCCTGATGATGATAAGAATGAAGACGAGACATTTAATAATTTCATGAACGACATTGAAGAGGAGAATCGATTGGAGACTAATCATTATTATGGGGGTATCTCTGACAATGAGGATGCAGGGCAGCAGAGAAGGAGGGAAAATGAAGCATTGTTCAATAGGCCTAGCCCTGATTCAATACAGTTTAGATCTAGGAGAGGCCGGACTGAGCCACTGAGGTCTCGTTATATGCCACGCCGAACTTAATTATTAGTAACTGATTTTTCTTTTTTTTTGCTGCTGCTATTGAACCGTTTGTGTGAACTTATTTTGCTGCTAATTTTTGTGTGTTAGGCTTATAGTGAAATTGTTGATTTTTTGTCAAAAAAATTGTTTAAAATAATATTTTGAAATAATTATGAAGCACTGACATAGAGCACTATATGCACTTTATACTATAGGCAAACACAACATGCTATTTACATATGCAGTGCATCAGTAGCTGATTGTATGTATCTAGTACAATTTTTGACTGGAGTTTGTATTTGTATAGCTAGTATTTTGGGCAATGTTTATGCATGCACCTACATGCATGTCACTAAAATTCACAGACTTTGGCTATGCCATATACATTTAGATGAATTGATTGCAAATTGATTTAAACACTAAATCAGTGTCATAATAACAAAAATTATTACAGTCTTAGACTAACTTAATTTGTGTTTTGAATAATGATTATATGTACTTGCAATGTTTTATTTATAAAGAGATATGTGGGCCTTTGATGTATCAGTGTGAGGCATGTTAAACGTAATCATATCTGAAAGACAAACTGTTTATATTCTAAGAATTTAAACCAATAACTTGTGAATCTAATTACATGGGTTTGCACTTTATAAAAACACTCCAAACTTATAATCATATTAAAACAAATTTTGTGGTTTGGAGTCATGGCAGAGCAAGAACAACCTCAGTCTAAGAAATCTGCTGGATGGTAATTTTTGAAATGATCATAGACAGTATAATTCTGTATAATTTTTCCTAAACTGCAGGGTCAAAAGGACAGCTGGTGCTTTTGGAAAAGCCATTGTTAATACATCTCAATATTTGTTTGATTTGGAAAGAGATGCAAGCAAAGCTCTTGAATCATTACTAAGGAAAGCCTGGGCCCATCAAAGAGGATTAAGGATACTTGTTAGTGGGAAGACAGGTCAAGGAAAATCTTCACTCATTAATGGTATTCTTGGTGCTCATGTTGCTGTTGAAGGAGCTGGTGCCAAGAGATGTACAACACAAGTTGAAATGTATTCAGAAATCATCAAAGGTGTGCCGATCAAAGTCTTTGATTCTCCTGGCTTACAAGATCGCACAGCAAATGAAGAGAAATACATACAAGGAATGAGAGAAACATGCCAAGAGCTGAGTTTAGTCCTCTACTGCACTAAGATGAGTAACACTCGACTAACTGATGATGACAAGAATGCTATGGTCGAGCTAACAAAGGCTTTTGGAGAAGGTTTCTGGAAATATTCCGTTTTTATCCTCACTTTTGCTAACAGAGAAGATGTCACCAGAAAAGATGACAGAGATGCTGATGAAGAAGAACCAGATGAAGCCGATGACAAAGGATGGCAAGAGTTAGGAAAGAGGAGGTTTGAAAGACGGTTAGAATTATGGAAGGAAGAGCTTCAAAATTTCCTCATCGATGAAGTTGGAGTGAGTAAAAAGATTGCTACAAAAATTCCTGTTGTGCCAGCTGGAGACAACAAAAAAACTCGAAAAAACAAGGAGCCTCTTCGTCTTCCTGACCGTGACAACTGGTTTAATGAATTATGGAAAGCATGTTGCTTACGAGTTAAAGAAACACGTCTTTTCCTTCAGTTAAACAGTGATCGTATGGTTACTAAAGATGAAAGTGATGATGAGGGAAGTGATGATGATGATGATGATGATGATACAGAAGAGCCCTCTGAAGTAAGTAACATCAATATTTTTTTTATTATCTCAATTATTTTGATAATTATACTCATCAAAAATAGGTTATTCCACCAGAAGAAGAAAAAACAGATGTTAAAGAAGTAATAATGTTTTATAATTGCAATTACTTTGCATTTATTTAACAGGAACTGGAGAGAATTGGAAGATTTGAGGCTGCTCTTAATGTTGCTCGTCAGCAGGAATCAAATGAGAAAATGGTTTTATAATAATAATAATAAGAATTATGCATTTTCATTTATATATAGGAAAGTCCAGAATTTACGAGACCTCCAAAAAGACCTCCTCGAAGTCCTCGACCAGTAAGCTTGATTATTAATGATTGTAGATATACTTTTGGTGCAAATATAGAGCCATCAAGCACAGCAAGATCAGGCAAAAGACACGGAAGAAGTACTTTATATAGTGCCACTATTTTATTCAAAAATTGTTATTGTTGCTTTGTAGAGTAAAATTACTCCAATACCTAGGACAAGAGTTGCTACAAATCCTGAGCATTCACAGGTAGATATCTGTATAGACAAGTAACCAATAATTAATATTATGATTGTATATAGTTGAATAAAGGCGATTCAATTACACGGGGCAAACCACTCCGTCTTTCAGTCCCATTAATAAAGGTACTACATGCATATAACACAAATTTATTGCACATATCATTCTGTATTCTTAATTATTATAGCCTGAACCTCCACCAAAACCAGTTCGTTCAAAAAGAAAAGAGGTAAATGCATTCAATAACCTTGTGTTGTGTTTCAATTAATACTTGCAATAGAGTGACTATGGAATGCCTACAATTCCAATGGATGCCTTAAAGCCAGGAGCTCCCTATAGAAAGACACGACCATCCCCACTGCCTTCTCCACTACCATCTCCAATACCTTCTCCACAGCCATCTCCACAACCATCCCCAGTACCTTCTCCACAACCATCTCCACCATCAACTACAAAGTTTTTCCCTCCATCACCTAGACCATCTCAACCACCTAAACCAGCTCCAAAACCATCTTCACAAAGGACATGTCTACCAGAGCCACCGACTATGATGGTAACTAAAGATGCATCACCTCTTCCATTGCACACTTCTCGAAGTGAGGGTTATATAGGTTTATCCCAACTACATTCTCTGAAGCCATCCCCACTACCTTCTCCAACTCCATCCCCATCATCATCTCCTAGGCCTGATCGAGTCAATACTCTTGTAAACCAACATATTGACATCCAGCATTCATTTGTTAAGGATATTACTGTTGAGACCGTCAGAAGAGGTTTTGGTGAAACTGTTGCTGATGCATTCAAGGCAGCATTTGATAACGTGATTAAAAAGCCATCTAAATGGTTTGTACGACTGATCAAAAAGGAAAATTAGACATAGTTTATTGATATTGATAGGATGTTATTGTTATTTTATTTTGCTGCTTTTCCTAGATACTTATGAATTATTGTTTCCTAGAGTGTTTATAGTTTAGTTTTAATTCCTATAAGATTATGAATATCTTTTGTAGTAATTTGATAGTATTGTTTATACACATCTTTAAAATTAATATTTTGATGGAGCAATAGATGAATGTAGGTCTTTAGAATGTTTCCAGGAGAAACATGTTAAGAGATTGCACAACTAGAAATATTGGTCAAAACTGTGGATTAGGTTCAAAAATATGTAGATGGAATGATTGAGAATACACGATGCAAAGAACTTCATACTAGTTTTAAAGTCTAGATGATTCACTGAAATGGTTGATATAAATCTTATATAGTTGATGCATACTGCATGTATGTTAGTGACAAGAATGCCAACGGTTAAGAGTCAAAGTCTAATCATTTCAGTTCAACTTAACCCAATAATTAACCTGCCTATCAGATAATAATTAACCTGCCTATCAGATAAAAATGATGAACTGCAAGGAAGAAAATTTTTAAATTAATGCGCAGCATGACAAACCAAATTCATGCTGCATCTTAGAGAATAGAGGAATGCTTAGCTTCAGCATCTCTACTGGGACTGGGACTGGGAGTACTGAAACGTGTCACGTGATCAAGCTCTCAAGTATGCGTGGGTGTACAAATGGCTGATGACTATGAGGTACTGGAGCTTCAGTTTAGACCCGATCTCCTTCAACCAGCAGCTCATCTTCTCAATGAACAGTGGCCTAGAAGTTTAGAGACAAGGTCAGTGTAGTTATAATGATTCCCACTTATCATAAAGTTTGGCCTGATTTTGAGGTCATGAATCAATAATGCTTTGATCAAAATCAGCTCAAAATTTTATCTAAACGTAACATATCAGAATGTAGCAAAAATTGACATATCTATCCTGTTCAAGTACATTCATAATTTCCCACAAAGTATGCTAAAGTAATTAACTTTGCAGACGCTACAATAGACATGTACAGATCTTTGGTGCAACTTTTAAAATTTTAAAATGTACAGATTTTTGGTGCAACTGATTTTTGAGTAACTTTAAAAATTCATAAAAAATTAATTTTGATTGGAATTAGCTCAAACTTTCTACACAACATAAGTACATGTATATGTATCAGAAAAAATTATAAAAATGCAAAATTTTCTCTTTTTCACTTTTGACGGAATTTGGCCAAAATCCCTGTACTGTAGTACAGGGACCTTGGCCCAATTTTTGAGTAACTTGAAAAATTCATAAAAAAATTAATTTTGATCGGAATTAGCTCAATTTTCTACACAACATAACTACATGTATACGTACCAGAAAAAAATATAAAAATGCAAAATTCTCACTTTTGACAGAATTTGGCCAAAATCCCTTTGCCTGATTTTTGAGTAACTTTAAAAATTCATAAATAAATTAGTTTTGATTGGAATCAGCTCAAATTTTCTACACAACATAAGAACATGTATATGTATCCGAAAAAATTATAAAAATGAAAATTTCTCTCCTATCAATTTTTGACAAATTTTGGCTAATGACACTGTACTATAGTACAGGGATTTTGACCCGATTTCGGAGCAACTTTAAAAATTCATGAAAAATCCAAATTTGATAGAAATCAGCTCAAATTTTCTACACAACACAAGAACATGTATATGTATCCGAAAAAATTATAAAAATGAAAATTTATCTCCTATCAATTTTTGACAAATTTTGGCTAATGACACTGTACTATAGTACAGGGACTTTGGCCCAATTTTTGAGTAGCTTTAAAAATTCATAAAAAATCCAATTTTGGTCAAAATCAGCTTAAATTTCTTACACAACATAAGTACATGTATATGCATCAGAAAAATTATAAAAATGCAAAATTCTCTCTTTTTTCACTTTTGATGAAATTTGGCCAAAATCCCTGTATGCAGCAACTCCTTAAAATCATAATTTAATTTACATGTATATTGATGTGCTACTTGTTTGAAATCCTGAAAGAAACTTGACAAAAATATTACTCCTATTATATTATAATAGAGTATTACTATCGTGCCTGTGTCTTCTTTTCAAATTTCTTGATTAATTAACCAAATTCCCATTACCATACATAGGAAGCACTCCATTTCTGATAGCAAGACTGACCTACCTGTATCTCTCCTACTAATAACAAAAGACAAGGAGAGAGTGATTGGATTTGTTAGGATATTCAAAGTTGCCAATAGAAGTAATGCTGGACTCATTGAATCACTTGTCATCTCACCTGGCACCACATGATAAGTTAATGTGGCTTTAGAAGCAGAGCATGTGGAGACAAGGTATTTATAACATACAGTATGTGTAACTTGTTTCTGAAATCTGAATAAAGTAACTAGAAGAATGTAAAGCATTTGAAAGGGCTTAGCCCCCAGAGCCATGCTATTGTTGTGCTGTATGTATGAATAGATAATATGTTTTATTAACAAGAGACAACGAGAGAGTGATTGGATTTGCAAAATTGTAATGCAGATTGATCCACTTGTCATTTGAAGGAGCATGGTTCTGGTGATAAAATAAAAGCTTGCCGAGACACATGCAAAGTACTTTATTTATACATGTATAGTTAATATATTGTGGTGAACTATAAATAAAGCTAACAGATATGATATTTCCATGATTTTTTAAATCAATGATGTAATTGTAATTACTAAAATTTATTACTTATCCATGTGCTTATTCTGAATGTTCTAGCCTTCTGAATCTGATCTGTGTAGGTGCATACACATATATTTTCTATCCTTCCATGTTTTTTTCAGTTCTTGTTCTTTTGTTCTTGTTTTGTTGGTCCCTTCTGGCTCTGTTCCTTCTCTTCTTTATTTTGTTTTAGTTTGGAGTGATTACTAACCATTTGTGCTAATCATTGTATTGATTCAGCTCATTTATCACATTATCACTTGTTATTCAATGCACATACATGTACATTGTATCCATTCTACACATGTTGTTTATCTCAGCATACACAAATCTTTGATAAACATAATACTTTTACTGCTGTATATTTTCTAAGACAACTAACCTCATAATACCATCTTGAAAAACCAACCTCAATCCTACATGTACATCATATAGGTTATCACCTATAATATAATAATTGGAATGGAAGTGTTATCTTGCCACTGTCACTTCTAATTATTACAGTCAATGCCCAAGATAAGATGTGGGCTGGCAATAGTAATTGTACTGCCCTAGTCACACCCTGTGGCCTGTGCACTGTGCAGCTGTGTTCAGCTTTTTTTCTTACCTAGCTTACCTAAGCAGTTAGGATATTGATACAATCTGCATCTCATTTCATGTAGTACTATGTACATGTACTGTAATGTACTGTAGATAAAAAGCTTATAATAATGCTTTCTCTTGTTTTCAATGATCATAGAGTGCCTTAAATTAGGTCATTAATTAAGGTAGCTATCATTGATTAGTCACCTAGCTATTCTATGACTTACACCTGTCACAACCTAGCTGTTCTATTCCAGCCTACATGACACACACCTGTCACAACAATAGCAGTGTTTCACATGTAGTTATGACAATCGTGGAAGAGAGATGAGGAGAGATTCATAAAAAGCCACAATTTGCTTTTTATTTTCATTTCTCTATTATAGTTTGTATGTATTACATGCTTGGATATAAGTGCCATATTAGGTACATGCAGCAGTGGCAGCCCTTAGACTCAGGTAACTGCAATATTATTGATGAAACTATATTGTTTAGTTATATAAAGACTTTCATACACGAGACAACTTGTTGCTAGCAACCAAGTGACATGTTGCCGCCAAAAATAGAACATATTTCTATTTTTGGCAACATGTTGCTTACAAGATTTAAGTAACCACAACTGTTGCTAGCAACAAGTTGCCTTAGTGGTATGAAGGCCTTTATACATGTACATCTAGGTCAAGTTGCTGTTGGAGTTCACCTAAATACTTGTTTCAGAATTTATTTGTTTCAGGAATTACGCAGGAGCCCATAAAGAGAGGCTTTGATTTTTTAATAACTTTTTGACAGTTGTGTGGTTTATGTGGGTGGTTGGTATTTTAATTATTCTATTTTTTTACCTAGCCTGCTATATAAAGCGGTGGTGGCAGTGCAGCCTGATTCATTGTCTAAAAATTCTTGACTGTTGTCAAAGATAGTTCTAACTTATAGTGGTCAACTGCTATTCAAGCACTGTCTTGTAGGTCAGTCAGTTTTAAGTAACTTAATGTATATAGTGTCTTATTTATTGTAAGAATCAGTACTGTACAGAGCATTATGGTTGCACAGTGTGAGTGTCCCTTAGCAAAGTCACAGATCATGACAGATGTGGCCTAAAACCTAGATTTTTACAGTTCCCTGATGAGCTACAGGTTTATATGACCTATTGGTTTGGCCAAAAGAAGTCATGATGTGAGCACTGAATGCATTATGGAGACTGGGCTCAAATCCTATTCTTTCATGGTGCATGCTAAGTAATAATCAGTTTGCATGCAGCCATAATTAATTTTGATGACATGCATGCATTAGATCTATATATATTCTGGTTAGATTTTACTAAAATTGTTTCATTATTATATATTATTATAGTTATCTATAGAGAGTTCAACTCAACAGTTTTGAAATTTGAATCATGGCAGAGCTAGTTCAACCTGATTCTAAGAAGCCAGTTGGATGGTAATAGTGAACCACTATAATGTGATTGAAAGATTGATTATTGAATTCCTATATAGGGTAAAAAAAGTAGGTGGTGCATTTTCAAAGGCTGGAAGAGCTGTTGTAAATGTTCCACAGCAATTGTTAGATTTGCAAAGAGATGCAAGTAAAGCTCTTGAGTCTCTATTGAGGAGAGCCTGGGCACATCAAAGGGAATTGAGGATACTCGTCACTGGAAAGACAGGTCAAGGAAAGTCTACCCTCATCAATGGCATTCTTGGTGCTCATGTTGCTGTTGAAGGAGCTGGTGCCAAGAGATGTACAACACAAGTTGAAATGTTTTCAAAAACCATCAAAGGTGTTCCAATCAAAGTCTTTGATTCTCCTGGCTTACAAGATCGCACAGCAAATGAAGAGGAGTACATACAAGGAATGAGAGAAACATGCCAAGAGCTTAGTTTAGTCCTCTACTGCACTAAGATGATTAACACTCGACTAACTGATGATGACAAGAATGCTATGGTTAAGCTAACAAAAGCTTTTGGAGAAAGTTTCTGGAACTATTCTGTGTTTGTCCTCACTTTTGCTAACCTTGAAAATGTTGCAAGAAAAGATGACAGAGATGCTGATGAGGAAGAACCAGATGATGATGATGATGAGGGATGGAAAGAATTAGAAAAAAGAAGATTCATGAGACGGTTGGAGTTATGGAAGAAAGAGCTACAAAATTTCCTCATCAATGAAGTAGGAGTGAGTAAAAAGATTGCTACAAGAATTCCTGTCGTACCAACTGGAGACAACAAAAAAAACCGAAAAAGCAAGGAGTTTCTCCGTCTTCCTGACCGTGACAACTGGTTTAACAATTTTTGGGAAGCATGCTGCCTTCGAGTTAAAGAAACACGTCTTTTCCTTCAAATAAACAGCGATCGTATGGTTGCAAAAGATGAGGGTGATAATGATGATCCTGATGATGAAGAAGAAGATGATGACGATAATGAAGAACCTTCTAAAGTCAGTATCTTATATTTATAGCAATAATCTTAAATATCATCAATATAGGCCTTGTCACCAGAAGAAGAGAAAAAGGACCTTGAAGAAGTAATAGCTATAATAGTCTTAGCATTATTATTCTTATCATCATTATAATCATTACAACTTCCCTAGAAATTGGAGACAATTAAAGGATTCGAAACTGCTCGTAATGTTAGTATCTAAAAATAAAAATGCACAATTATAAGCTTAAACACAATGTATATTTTGTATCTTATAGAGTATCATAAAACTTCAGCAGCAATCAAAAGAAGAAAGGGTAATATACTGTACAAACTGTAACTTAATTTTTTTATTTTCAAATATTTAGAAGACTCCAGAACCTATGAAACCTAGGCCTTTATCAGTGAGCTGAAAATTCATAAAGAATTAAGACATTATGTTTATGTGCATATAGAATTATCAAGTACAACATAATCCAACAAAGAAGAAAGAAGTACCGGTACAATAGAAATTTGGCCCATGCTATAATATTATAATGAACTTGTATAGAATAAGATGACTAGGACAAGAGGTGCTTCAGAACCTGATGAACCCCCACAGGTATAGAAATACAAACTGAGAGTAATAACCAATAAATTGTATCATTTCATTAGCTAGCAGTTTCAAATGGTTATTCAACACCCAGAAATAAGGTATGCAATAGCATACATTATGCTACACAACTTTATGGCATATCATGATTATTCTGTTTTCCTAATAATATAGACTCCTCCACCAACTGTTTCTCCAAAACCAGTTCGTCGAAAAATGAAAGAAGTAATCCGTCACACATAATTCAATGTTTCATTTTAATTACAATAGAGTAGCTATGGATTACCTACAATTCCAATGGATGCCTTAAAGCCAGGAGCTACCTATATAAAGCCAATGCCTCCTCCATCCCCTTCAAAGGGTTCCCCAAATCATTCCCCAACTCCTGCAAGGATAACAAAAGAAGCATCCCCTCCCTCTTCTCCTCCTCTATTGCAGCTACAATCCATATCACAAAATGGAGTACCCATAGTTGATGCAGTTCAGCCCAGTGAGCCCGCAGTTTCTGTTAGTAAATCCGTTCAAGTCACTAATCATCTTGTGAACCAAGATATTCACATTCATCCCACTCTTGTCAAGGAGGTTGCCGTTGAGACCGTCAGAAGAGGTTTCGGTGAATCTGTTGCTGATGCATGTAGAGCAGCTTTTGATACCGTGATTAAAAAACCATCAAAATGGTTTGTAGGATTGTTTAAAAAAAAGAAGAAGTAGCAGCCTAAAAATAATGACTATTATGAATTTGCTAATTTATGCTATTAATTCTTAATGATAAGTGCTTTTTGTTACTTTTATTTAAAGTAAATCTATAAAACATTTTGTCTATCACAAGTGTGTAGGCGGTGTGTGTATACTTTAGCCTTAGGTGTGGTGATAGTGGTCATGTGGCTTCTTACATGCAAATGGCTGTTGACTATAGACCACCCTAGGCGTGAATTGGAAAAGTTATGAATTTCATTAATTTTATATACGGTACCCGCCCACAGATCATAATTGGCTGCCATTTTGGTTGGCAAGTTTATTATGGAAGTCAATGGAGGCACGAAGAAAATGCCTCACTTACCTGCTTTAGCTCTATCAATAGCTAAAAAGCGCTTGTTATAAGAAAGAACAGCTGCCTCTAAGCTTCTCCTGTGAAGGATTTGGTCAAATTTGCTCCAGAATTCTTAATACAGGTTTGTTTTTATGTCGACCCGTTTGTTCTCCATTGAAAGTTGCCAACCAAAATGGCGGCCGGAATTTATTTCATCCTAAACCACGCCTTACAACTGTAAAAATTTCTAATAATCTTCCTACGCATTCAATTCTCGCCTAGGGTGGTCTATAAGATACTAGATCTAGAGCTTCAGTTTAGACCTGATCTCCTTGAGCCAGCAGCTCATCTTCTCAATGAACAGTGGCCTAGAAGCTTAGAGGCAAGGTCAGTGTAGTTATAATAATTTTTTTTAAATTGAAAGTACAAGTCAATAAATTCTAGGTAACATCAGGGCATGTGTATCAAAAGATTTATAAAATTTGAACATTGTTGCTATTAGCCATTGCAATACCAAGTTTAAAACAACTTTTTATGTTTTGATGGGAATGACTTCAATAAATGGAAAATTATTTCCAGTCTGTTTCAGGGGTATATCCAGAAATTGAAAAGGGAAGTGCTGAGGGCACATGAAGTGTGCCGTTATTTTGGCCACACCCTTTTTAAGGCGGTACCAAGTTTGAGCTGATTCCAATCAAAATTAAATTTTACAAATTTTTAAAATTAGTCAAAAATTGGGTCCTAGCCACTTCTTGGCCAAATTTTGCCAAAAATGACTAGGAGAGAATTCTCCATTTTTATAATTTCTTCTGATACATATATGTTTTTTTAATTTTGTGAAGCAAATTTGAGCTAATTGCAACCAATTTTGGATTTTTTGCAAATTTTTGAAAGTGACTCAAAATTTTAGCCAATGTATGTATTTGGCCAAATTTTGACAAAATTTTTTAAGGAAGTTTTTCATTTTTATATTTTTTCTGATGCATGTACGTGTTTTTATGTTGTGTAGCACGTTTGAGCTGATTTTAACCAAATTTGAATTTTAAAAAATTTTTAAGTTGCTTGAAATGCCATGTACTGTATTGTAGATCTAGTGCTTGCCAGTTCATGAAGCATGCTTTTAGTTCACTTAGCATGCTTTGCAGGAAACCCTGTATTAATGTTTCACTTGTTTCAAATTAACATAAATATAGTTGCTATTGTAGATTTCGTTACTATTTCTTAAATAATTACTATTGGTTTGTGCCTTGATTTCAAATTTCTTAATTAATCGAATTCTCATTACCATACATAGGAAGCACTCCATTGCTGATAGCAAGACTGACCTACCTGTATCTCTCTTACCAATAACAAAAGACAAGGAGAGAGTGATTGGATTTGTTAGGATATTCAAAGTTGCCAATAGAAGTAATGCTGGACTCATTGAATCACTTGCCATCTCACCTGACACCACATGAGAAGTTAATGTGGCTTTAGATGCAGAGCATGTGGAGACAAGGTATTTATAACATACAGTATGTGTAACTTGTTTCTGAAATCTGAAGAAAGTAACTAGGAGAATGTAAAGCATTTGAAAGGGCTTAGCCCCCAGAGCCATGCTATTGTTGTGCTGTAGTGTATGAATGGGATATTGGAGATAAGCTACATTTTTGTAATTAAGTTTTAATAACCCTATAATAATTATCTGCTTACATAAAATTCATCTTATTTTAATTTGTTTTATAACAAGAGACAAGGAGAAAGTGATTGGATTTGCAAAATTGTAATGCAGATTGATCCACTTGTCATTTGAAGGAGCATGGTTCTGGTGATAAAATGAAAGCTTGCCGAGACACATGCAAAGTACTTTATTTATACATGTAGATGTAGTTAATATACTGTGGTGAACTATAAATAAAGCTAACAGATATGATTTATCTATGATTTCTTTATTAATAATGTATTTTATGAAATTGTAATTACTAAAAATTACTTATCCATGTGCTTATTCTAAATGTTTTAGCCTTCTGAATCTGATCTGTGTAGGTGCATACACATATATTTTCTATCCTTCCATGTTTTGTTCAGTTCTTGGGTTTTTGTTCTTGTTTTGTTGGTCCCTTCTGGCTCTGTTCCTTCTCTTCTTTATTTTGTTTTGGTTTGAAGTGATTGCCAACTGTTTGTGCTAATCATTGTATTATTGATTCAGCTCATTTATCACATTATCACTTGTCATTCAACACATATACATTGTATCTATTCTATACATGTTGTTTATCTCAGCATACACTAATCTTTGATAACTCTATACTTTTACTGCTATATATTTTCAAAGACAACGTACCTCATAAAAAGTCATAATATACCATCTTGAAAAACAAACCTCAATCCTACATGTACATCATATAGGTTATCACCTATAATATAATAATTGGAGTGGAAGTGTTATCTTGCCAATGTCACTTCTAATTATTACAGTCAATGCCCAAGATAAGATGTGGGCTGGCAATAGTAATTGTACTGCCCTAGTCACACCCTGTGGCCTGTGCACTGTGCAGCTGTGTTCAGCTTTTTTGCCTACCTAGCTTGCCTAAGCAGTTAGGATATTGATATAATCTGCATCTCATTTCATGTAGTACTATGTACATGTACTGTAATGTACTGTAGATAAAAAGCTTATAATAATAATGCTTTCTCTTGTTTTCAATGATCATAGAGTGCCTTAAATTAGGTCATTAATTAAGGTAGCTATCATTGATTAGTCACCTAGCTATTCTATGACTTACACCTGTCACAACCTAGCTGTTCTATTCCAGCCTACATGACACACACCTGTCACAACAATAGCAGTGTTTCACATGTAGTTATGACAATCATGGAAGAGAGATGAGGAGAGATTCATAAAAAGCCCGGCACAATTTGCTTTTTATTTTCATTTCTCTATTATAGTTTGTATGTATTACATGCTTGGATATAAGTGCCATTAGGTACATGCAGCAGTGGCAGCTCTCAACCTCATGTAGCCTCAGGTAACCATAGTATTTTTGATGAAGTTATATTGTTTAACTATAATAATAGGTCAAGTTGCCGCTAGAGTTCAGATATATGCTTGTTTTAGAATCTATTAATTGTTTTAGGAATTAGGAGCCCATGAAGAACAAGAGGTTCTGATTTTTTGACAGTTGTGTGGTTTGTGGGAGTGGTTGGTATCTAGTATTTTACCCAGCCAGCTATATAAAGCAGTGGTGGCAGTGAAGCCAGATTCATAATTCATTGCCTAAAAGTTCTTGACTGGTGTCAAAGATAGTTCTAACTTAAAGTGGTCAACTGCTGTTAAGCACAGTCTTGTAGGTTCAGTCAGTTTTAAGTAATTTAATCTAGATTGTAGTGTGCTAGTGTCTTATCTATTGTAAGACTCAAGACCCAAGTGCTGTACAGAGCATGGTTGCACAGTGGCCCTTAGCAAAGTCATAGATCATGACAGATGTGGCCTAAACGGGCCACTATGCCCCAACCAATCATCATGGCTAGATTTTACTTAAATTGTTTCATTTTTATTGATCTACAGAGAGTTCAATTAAAGTTCAACTCAACAGTTTGAAAATTAAAATTATGGAAGAGCTGCCTAAAAAGCCAGTTGGACGGTATTTAATGATTATAATTGATTTTAATTTCTTGCTAACAATATAGGGTCAAACAAATGACTGGTGCTTTTTCAAAGGCTGGAAAAACTTTTGTGAATGCTCCACGGCACTTGTTAGATTTGCAAAGAGATGCAAGTAAAGCTCTTGAGTCTCTATTGAGGCGAGCCTGGGCACATCAAAGGGAATTGAGGATACTGGTCACTGGAAAGACAGGCCAAGGAAAGTCTACCCTCATTAATGGCATTCTAGGTGCTCATGTTGCTGTTGAAGGAGCTGGTGCTAAGAGATGTACAACACACGTTGAAATGTTTTCAAAAACGATCAAAGGTGTTCCAATCAAAGTCTTTGATTCTCCTGGCTTACAAGATCGCACAGCAAATGAAGAGGAGTACATACAAGGAATGAGAGAAACATGCCAAGAGCTTAGTTTAGTCCTCTACTGCACTAAGATGATTAACACTCGTCTAACCGATGATGACAAGAATGCTATGGTCAAGCTAACAAAAGGTTTTGGAGAAAGTTTCTGGAACTATTCTGTGTTTGTCCTCACTTTTGCTAACCTTGAAAATGTCACAAGAAAAGATGACAGAGATGCTGATGAGGAAGAACCAGATGAAGATAATGTGGAAGCATGGAAAGAATTAGAAAAAAGAAGATTCATGAGACGGTTGGAGTTATGGAAGGAAGAGCTACAAAATTTCCTCATCAATGAAGTAGGAGTGAGCAAAAAGATTGCTGTCAGAATTCCTGTCATACCAACTGGAGACAACAAAAAGTCCTATGACAATGTAGAGTTTCTTCGTCTCCCTGACCGTGACAACTGGTTTAACAATTTTTGGGAAGCATGCTGCCTGCGAGTTAAGGAAACACGTCTTTTCCTTCAAATAAACAGCAATCGCATGGTTGAAAAAGACAATGGTGATGATGATGGAGAAGAAGATGATAATACTGAAGAACCTTCTACAGTTAGTGTGTTATATTGTTATAGCAATTGTTAACTATCATTGATATAGGCCTTGTCACCAGAAGAAGAGAAAAGGGACGTTAAAGAAGTAATAGCTATAATAGTCTTAGCATTATTCTTATCATCATTATAATCATTACAACTTCCCTAGAAATTGGAGACAATTGAAAGATTCAAAACTGCTCGTAATGTTAGTATCTAAAAATAAAAATGCACAATTATAAGCTTAAACACAATCTATATCTTGTATCTTATAGAGTTTCATAAAACTTCAGCAGAAATCTGAAGAAGAAAGGGTAATATACTAAACAAACTGTGACTTAATTTTTTTATTTTCAAATATTTAGAAGATTCCAGAACCTATGAAACCTAGGCCTTTAATGGTAAGTTAAAAATTTATAATGAACTAAGACACTATGTACATGTGATATAGAATTATCAAGTACAACATAATCCAACAAAAAAGAAAGAAGCACCGGTATAATAGAAATTTGACCCATGCTATAATATTGTAATGAACTTGTTTAGATTAAGATGACAAGGACAAGAGGTGCTTCAGAACCTGATGAACCCCCACAGGTATAGAAATACAAACTGAGAGTAATAACCAATAAATTGTATCATTTCATTAGCTAGCAGTTTCAAATGGTTATTCAACACCCAGAAATAAGGTATGCAATAGCATACATTATGCTACACAACTTTATGGCATATCATGATTGTTCTGTTTTCCTAATAATATAGACTCCTCCACCAACTGTTTCTCCAAAACCAGTTCGTCGAAAAATGAAAGAAGTAATCCATCATGCATAATTCAATGTTTCATTTTAATTACAATAGAGTAGCTATGGATTACCTACAATTCCAATGGATGCCTTAAAGCCAGGAGCTACCTATATAAAGCCAATGCCTCCTCCATCCCCTTCAAAGGGTTCCCCAAATCATTCCCCAACTCCTGCAAGGATAACAAAAGAAGCATCCCCTCCCTCTTCTCCTCCTCTATTGCAGCTACAATCCATATCACAAAATGGAGTACCCATAGTTGATGCAGTTCAGCCCAGTGAGCCCGCAGTTTCTGTTAGTAAATCCGTTCAAGTCACTAATCATCTTGTGAACCAAGATATTCACATTCATCCCACTCTTGTCAAGGAAGTTGCCGTTGAGACCGTCAGAAGAGGTTTCAGTGAAGCTTGTGCTGATGCATGTAGAGCAGCTTTTGATAATTAAAAAACCATCAAAATGGTTAGTAGGATTTTTTAAAAAAAGAAGAAGTAGTAGCCTAAAATTAATGACTATTATGAATTTGCTAGTTTAATGCTATTAATTCTTAACGATGAGTCCTTTTTGTTACTATTATTTAGAGAAGAATCTATTAAAAAAACATTTTTGTCTATCACAAGTGTGTAGGTGGTGTGTGTATACTTTAGCCTTAGGTGTGGTGATAGTGGTCATATGGCTTCTTACATGCAAATGGCTGATGACTATGAGGTACTAGAGCTTCAGTTTAGACCTGATCTCCTTGAACCAGCAGCTCATCTTCTCAATGAGCAGTGGCCTAGAAGCTTAGAGGCAAGGTCAGTGTAGTTATGATAATTAAAAAAAATTAAAAGTACAAGTCAATAAATTCTAGATAACATCAGGGCATGCATATAGTCTACGTGTATGTGTATCAAAATATTTATAAAATTTGAAAGTTGTTGCTATTAGCCATTGCAATACCAAGTTTAAAACAACTTTTTATGTTTTGATGGGAATGACTTCAATAAATGGAAATTATCTCCAGCCTATTTCAGGGGAATATCCAGAAATTGCTGAGGGCACATGAAGTGTACCATTATTTTGGGCACACCTTTTTTAGGGCAGTACCAAATTTGAGCTGATTCGAATCAAAATTAAATTTTTAAAATTAGTCAAAAATTGGGTCCTAGCTGCTTCTTGGCCAAATTTTGCCAAAAATGACTAGAAGAGAATTCTCCATTTTTATAATTTCTTCTGATACATATATGTTTTTTTAATTTTGTGAAGCAAATTTGAGCTAATTGCAACCAATTTTGGATTTTTACAAATTTTTGAAAGTGACTCAAAATTTTAGCCAATGTATGTATTTGGCCAAATTTCAACAAAATTTGTTAAAGAAATTTTTCATTTTTATATTTTTTTTCTGATGCATGTATGTGTTCTTATGTTGTGTAGCACGTTTGAGCTGATTTTAACCAAAGTTGAATTTAAAATTTTTTTTAAGTTGCTTGAAATGCCATGTACTGTATTGTAGATCTAGTGCTTGCCAGTTCATGAAGCATGCTTTTAGCTCACTTAGCATGCTTTGCAGGAAACCCTGTATTAATGTGCTGCTTGTTTCAAATGAACATAAATATAATTGCTATTGTAGATTTCGTTAGTATTTCTTAAATAATTACTATTGGTTTGTGCCTTGATTTCAAATTTCTTAATCAACCGAATTCTCATTACCATACATAGGAAGCACTCCATTGCTGATAGCAAGACTGACCTACCTGTATCTCTCTTACTAATAACAAAAGACAAGGAGAGAGTGATTGGATTTGTTAGGATATTCAAAGTTGCCAATAGAAGTAATGCTGGACTCATTGAATCACTCGTCATCTCACCTGACTTGAGAAGGTGTGGCTTTGGACATCGCCTAATGGAAGCAGCTGAAGCACATGTAAAGAGGTAATTAATTAAGCTTGACTTTATACAAGTACATTATTATTGTTAGATTAGGGTATACTACCATGCATCTGTCAACTAATGATCAGCATATCTTTTATAAACGGATTGGATACATTGAGAGCACACCAGTTAATGCTGTAAGGAGATGCACAGCTATACATCAAACTAGTGATGATGAAGTGAGTTGTTTAATAGTCAAAACATGATAAAGTTCATTGTGTGCCTATTATATAGGATGATTCTTCATATAATGAAGCAATAGATGAGCCTCTTCCTGAACCCTCTCCTAATGTTATTGACACTACTAATACTCCAATAGCCTCTTCCCTTCCTCCTCCTCCTCCTCCTCCTCCTCCCCCTCCTCTATTGGTTCCTAAAATTGATGATACTACTGTCACTAAGTGGTATATTAAACACTTATAATAAACGTTATTTTTTATAATTTCAGTCTATTTACTGTGTCCATGTTTTTGAATCTTATCAACACTAATGTTCCCAATTGTTATAAAATTATCGTGCCTTTGTGTGACGACTGTGCATTGCATTTTATAAACAATTTTTAATATTCAGTATACTTGCATGTTAGTTAAAAACAGTATTGGAACTCCGTTTATTAACAAGCTGTCCCAGTGCTGTCAACAATCAACACTGAAATTGAAACTTATTTTTATACTTATTAGCCAGTCATTGAGTGTTGGTAGAGGGTTGCAGTCACTTGCAGTTATTATGATTCGAGGAGCCAAGCAAATTCTACTTATTTCATTTCCAGCTCTCTTAGTCCTCATCTGGGACTACCTCATGTATTCACACAACTATCTCTTTCGCTTCTCAATGAACACCACTACAGATCCCTCCATACAGTGGTATGTCAAATTGATAACATCTTACTTGGGATTTCTACTTTTTCCATTCTTTGGAGTTTTAGCTGATGTATGGATTGGAAGACATAAAGCTATTTTGTATGGTATATTCTTGTGTTTTGTAGCATGGATCATAGGAGGCATTGGTATTATTGTTTATACTCTCTATACTAATCAACCAATCCTGTGGACCATATGGAGCATTGCCTTCTTATTTCAATTAGCTGGCTACTCAAACTTTAGAGTAAACGCTATTCAGTACAATATTGATCAGGTTGTTGGAGCTTCAGCTGATAAGCTGAGCACTATAATATGCTGGCATTCTGCTGCTGTACCTATCACACGTTGCTTCATTCATGCTCTAAAATGCAGTCCTCTGGATAAATATTATATCATATTCATTACATCAGGTATAGCAATAGCTATTGTAATGGTTTCTCATTCCTTGTTCAAGCACAAGCTAGAGAATATATCTCTTATTAAGAACCCAATCAAACTGATAGTGAAAGTGTTGAGCTATGCCAGAAAGCACAAGTATCCTGAGAGTCGAAGTGCTTTGACCTATTGGGTGAATGAGACTCCTTCACGATTGGATCTAGCAAAGGAGAAATATGGCGGGCCCTTCACCGAGGAAGAGGTAGAAGATGTTAAGACCATTTTTCGCATACTTCCATTACTGATTGGAGTGGTTGGGTTTGCCTGTAGCGATGATCACACATCAAATGCACACACAAACTTAATAGCAAACGATAAATCCTTATCCTGCTTCCTGTCACTTGAATCAGTCTTTTTCTTCATCAATACTGTTCTCCTACTACTATATTTATTTGTATTTCGAATGTGCTGTCGTAAGTACATACCAAGTATGCTTGTTAGAATGGGACTTGGTCTGATATTTGCTTTGGGATCGACTGTATTCAAAACTATCCTATTTAATACCGATCATGAGATTCATTACGTACAAAAGCTACTGTTTATACCACAAGGGTTGCTACAGGCAATTGCATGTGCTTTGATAGTTCCAGCTTCACTGGAATTCACTGTAGCTCAATCCCCTGTATACATGAGAGGGATCATGGTCTCAATGTGGATTGCTTCTTGGAGTGTGGGCTATTTCATAAGCACCATAATCAAATTCTCATTTGATTGTGAGGGTAGATTCATTTGCAAAAATTTTAACTTATACTTAACTGAGAGCATCACGGTTTGTATTATAATAATAATCTTCATTTTGTTGGCTAAACGCTATAAGTACCGTGTTAGAGACAATGATGCTAATATTTACCAGATTGCCGAGGATTATTATCAAAGATACATAGATATAGAGCAAGCAAAGGATGATGCACAATCATGAACTGATAATATGTTTACTCCTCACTCCTGTTTCTATAATAACATTACTTTGTTAGTTTTGAATCTTAATAATTTTTAATCGTTATTTTTAATCAAGACTGGTGCATTCACAATGTTAACATTGAAAGCTACATAAACTGTAATCATAGAGCTAGAACTGTAGTTTTCATTGTTATCAAGTTAACTAGAGCATGTGTTGTTACACAACATTCATTGCTATTATCACAACAATACATACATCATGAACTGCACAGTATGACTAGGAATATATTTCTACCACTTGTTTACACCTTGAGGTGCGAACAAGACTGCTTGTAAATTTTAATTAAACACAGGAAGTGCCTTGAAGTGCGAACAAGAGTATACAGGAAGTGCTTTGAGGTGTGAAAAAGAGTGCTTGTAATTAAACACAGGAAGTACTATTTTATTTTTAAATATAATTTTGCTATATTTATCAAAAATGAACTATGCATTTTTATTCTGAGGAAAGAGATGCCATGAGCAAGAGAGTAGTGACCTTTGAATAGGAACAAGTATAAACTAGTTTAAACCTAGAAATTTACTACATACAACTTTGTATTTTTGTAAAGGAAAATACTTTATTTCATATTTTGTGGCATATAAAACTTTAAAAAACTTTTAAAAGTCATCTATTTGTTTTTAACTTTTATAAAAATTCCATTCACTGGTAAATGCAAAATGCCTAACTTGAACTTCAGTGGTACCTAAAAGTATACGTAACATCATAACAAACATGCATGTACAATAAACCTAACCTGAGTATCAGGTGATCTTTCAAACCTATACTTCCTCAATATACTCACTAAACATGCTTTAGCCTCCATTAGTGCAAACCTCATACCAATACAACTCCTTGGTCCCCAACCAAATGGAATATGAGACAAAGGATTCCTACCCTCCTTGCCTTCTGGACTAAACCTATGGTAACAAAACATTATTTTTAATTCTCTAAATTCTCAAATACCTGCTTGGTTTAAATGCATATGGCTGATCCCAATATTCTGGTGAGTAGTGTAGGTATTGAATAGGAAGTATAACATTGCAACCTTTAAGAAAAGTAACACCATTGATTGTACAGGTTTCCTTGCATACTCGAATGGTACTATAAATTATTTATTAATATAGATATTTTTAATATAGCTCACATAGGTGAAGGTGGGTACATGCGCAGTGCCTCCTGAATGACCCAATCAAGATAAGGAATATTCTGTGAAGCATCATACAATGAAGCATCCTAATAAATATTAATAAAAAATAGGCATTATATCAATATGCTACTAACTTCATTTTCCTGATAGTAGTTATCAATAGCTTCACATAACCGTTCTTGTTCATCAGGATTGAGTGCTAGGAGATACGTGGTGTAGGCAAGAGTGCTGGCGGTTGTTTCGTATCCAGCAGCCATAAAGTCGAAGCAGAGCCCTACAATCTGATCACTAGTTAGTTTATTCCTTGATTCACTTGAACTCTCTGAATCATTTTCATCATCTGGTGCTCTGGCATCCATTAACAATTGAAGAAAATCATTAAACTATCGTATGCATAAAAAATTAAAAATATCATTTTGACAATTAAATTGTCATTGCTAACCTTTTCCCTGCTATTTTCTAATTGCCCTTCTCTTGATTTGATGATCTGTAATGATGTTTCATTAATATACTTCATGTGATTGCTCAATGGTAAAATTTTTGAAGCCATTGCATTGAGAAATTTTGACAGAAGAGGAAAATGAGCTAAAAATAAATATACAAATATTATTATCGAAATAATAAATAATAATTACACTTACAAGCTATGTTACTATTAGATTATTATAACAACTGGGGCAACCCACAATAGTTGACTGGTATTTAAAGGATTGAATGGTTTATCATTTCTGCAAGGCCTTTTGGCTCCCAATTCTTTTAGCTCTTACAAATTTTTTGAAAGGGCTTTAAAACTCAGGTGACAGCCTGCACATTATTGAATTCTAACAAATAAATAATTCAGCTTACAATTCAGAATTTCTTCACCTACAAATACTGATTCATCAATATCATTAAAAAGTCCAGCAGCTGCTTCAGCAAGTAAACTTCCTTCACCTTTCAACAAATGAACCTCAGAACCAAATGCCACAGCAAGCATAACCTCTAAAGTGAACTTATTATACAATCTATCAAAAATAAAATAACAACTTGATAATCATGAAAATTGTTGTTGTACTTTAAAATATTAAAACTCTGTCCTTTATTACTGATTTCTTCCATGACAGTATTCAGCGTTTGACAACTTTTCTCAATTAAAGGCATCATCTGTATTAAGCCAATTCATAAAAACAGATATATGTTACCTCACCATTTTCAGTTTTTTGCTTGAAAAGGTAGGAGTTACAATGCGCCGGATACGCTTCCAATCATCATCCAATTCGAAAAGCAAACCAGATCCAATGTGATTATCTTTACGTACTTTGGACATTGCATAAGGCTCTCTCTATACACCAATTGTTGTCTTAATGCAGTGTATACTACTATTTATATGCCCTTACTTGAGCATTGCCATAAAATGATCAAACTTTTTGACTGTTACTTCCTTTATCATGTCAAGATCAGCAACTACCATATTTACTGCTGTACCAGCATAATACCTATCATAATTACCAAAAATAAAATGACAATCATTCATTTGAAGTTTACCCAAACACTTTCCCATTCTCAGAAATCCACTTTTCAAGGACCTTCACATAGCCCTAGAGCAATAATAAGACAGTTTATGCCTCTTGAATTCATGTAACCTGCTTACTAGCTTTAAGACAACTAATCCATTTCCAAAGAAAGGTATGACAGGATGAGGGTGAGGTACACCTATTCTCTTAAGAATGCCATAAGGAGCATGGTAGAAGCTATTAATAATAAGTAGAACGATGATCAATATGATACTTACTAATACCACCAATAAACAAGAACCAAAGGCAGGAAAAGGATCACTAACTGCCACATTGATTACCAGCTAATTAGCACCACAACTGATTTCAAAAAGAGGTGTGTCCCCAGCTCTAGCAACTCCTCCTACGTTTTTACCATTTTGAGTGTTTTTTTTACATTGATCAACATGAAAAATGAAAATTCAAACAAAATTTAATTGGTTAAATAGTAATTCATTTTATATACAACAGTATAACAGAGATTGCGACTGGGTCAGTGCTTGGGAAGCTCATCCAAAGGAGTGTCAAAGCTGAAATCAGTCGGAAAGAGTTTATGACGGGAAGGATACAGGAGCCTGTACGATTGACGTATTGTACTATCAGCAACACCAACAACATCACCAACCTCTACAAATATTAAAATAGAATTTAATTTGGCTATGGCCATTCACAAATTTACGAAAATAACTTTATTTGCCAATTTTTTCCAGTTTATTGTGCTGGAGTCATGCATGAATTTCATAGATTCATTTTCATGCATTTGCCAATTACGTGCTACACAGAATATGTCAACTTAACTCAGAAGGTGAATGCATTATAAGATATAAAATAAATGTAGACAATAACTAACCTTTCTGTGTCTTCTTGATGTCAGATGCTTGGGATGCCATGTATATAGAGGCAGCAGCAACAGACAGATAAACTCGTCTAAAATTAAATAAATACATGAAGTAATGTATTCACACTCCATATTAACACAGAAGTAATGTAATCAATGCTGGTGAAGTAATCAGTAAAGATAATAATCATGACATTTCCACTATGACTTAAACTTTAAACCTACCCTGGAGCAAGATCAAGCTCAACAGCTTTCTGTGCAATAAAGCTAGCTGCTTTCTGGACTGGTAATGGCAGACCAAGATTAGTGCAATACCTTGACTGTAATAATAATGATAATAAAATGAATTAGAATTATTTCTATTCACTAACCATAAAGTCAGTAGTTGATACAGTATTCATTGCTGGGTTTGCTGCTTGACGAATAAGTTTGAAGCATCTTCCTATTTCTTTCTTTGAATGACGTGATACAGCACATATTTCTGTGTGGAAATAAAAAAACCAATAAAAAGACAAGAAATAGTTACAATATGTAATGTATGACTTTTGGTTACATTAAATTTCAAAAATTACATTACTGAAGTTACAAAAAACTAAAGTAAGTCACCACAAAATTTGAGCAGTTGTCTTTGAAAATATAAAATTTTAAACACAAAAATTTAAGGTATTTTAAAGCACGTTATTGTCATGGTTTTAGGGCATACAACAAGATTAACAGTTTAAAACCCACAAAATCATCATAATGTCATCTTCTTAAATACCACAAATTGCCCTACCACATAATCAGGGTTTCCTACAAAGCATGCTAAGTGAGCTAAAGCATGCTTTATGAGCTGACAATTAGCCTAACAGCATATAGAGCAACTTTAACAATCTAAATTTGATTGAAATGAGCTCAAATTTGATATACATGTATTATCTTAGCCAATTCTGATAAAATTTTTCTACCAACTTTAAAAATTCATAAAAAATCTAAATTGGATCGGAATCGGCTCAAAGTTGATACACAACATAAGGACATGTATATGCATCAGAAACAATTGTAAAAATGAAAAATTCTCTCCTAGCCATTTTTGAAAAAATTTGGCCTTTAACCAAAGGCTATAACCTTTGGTCATTGGCACAATTTTTGAGCAACTTTAAAAATTCATAAAAAATCTAAATTTGATCAGAATCGGCTCAAAGTTGATACACAACATAAGGACATGTATATGCATCAGAAGCAATTGTAAAAATGAAAAATTCTCTCCTAGCCATTTTTGAAAAAATTTGGCCTTTGACCAAAATTGGTGCAATTTTTGAGCAACTTTAAAAATTCATAAAAATCTAAATTTGATCGGAATCAGCTCAAAGTTGATACACAACATAAAGACATGTATATGCATCAGAAACAATTGTAAAAATGAAAAATTCTCTCATAGCCATTTTTGCCAAAATTTGGCCTTTGCAATTTTTGAGCAACTTTAAAAATTCATAAAAAAATCCAAATTTAATCAGAATTAACTCAAAGTTGATACACAACATAAGGACATGTACATTTATCAGAAAGAAGTATAAAAATGGAGAATTCCCTCCTTGCAATTTTTGTTGAAATACCTTGTACAGCAACTCACTAACAAGAAGCTACTTGAGCACTATGCTAAAATCCACTTGAAAACCCTGATAACATAAGAACTTGCCAATCATAATAATTATTACCAATGATAACACTTTTTGTTGACTGCAGAATATCATATGCTAATTTCTTTATCTTGGGATAGCATTTAGTTAGTGAGCACATTTAAACACCATGACATTAGGCAAATTGAGCAATAATTCAATCTGTAGCTGTGCTGTGTGATAATGTGATTGTAGATGCCTATTGCACAATAAGTGCTAAACCAATGACAGTGGCAGGCATGCTACTACAAGTAGCATGCCTGCCCCAGTCATTGGTCTAGCAATTATTGTGCAATAGACATCAAAGTCTGGCCATCCAGAGTCATTACTCATTGGGTCTAAGTATACCAGACTACCAGGCTACCAGCAAGTTTTAATCTACCAACTGCATTCACTAGATTTATCTTCTTCCCAAATAAGTTTCCAGCAAATCTACAAAGTGATTAGAAGCTGTAAAGTCTCATTCAACCACTAGTCTATAGTAATAGTCTATTGATGGATTCTCTCCCAGTTCCTCTTCTGATCCAGTGTCTCCTGTATTTAATAGGTAACTTGTTTGATGATGATGATAAACCTATTCCTGGACTAGCATTACTACCTCGTTCTATTCGTATCAAACTCCTCCTCCTTCTACCAGCAGTAGATGTACATAAGTTGGAAGGTACATCAGTTACTGCTGATATATTAATAGATGAGATATGGGAGACACTCTACAAGGAGAGGACCTCTAAGCATTGTTGGTCACTGGATGAGTACAGTTCTTTGTTCTCATGGAAAGATTTATACTTCAGTTACATGCTTGCATTAGTCTTGCGTAGCCGCCGCCGTAGCACAACATGTGACCACTATGATAGGCCTTTATTCTATGAAGCTAATAAAGAATTATCCATATACTTTACACATGTTAAGGAATCAGTCTATATTGATTACAAGATAGCAATCTTTCATAATGTTGTTTGGTGGCAACACTTCAATCAAGTAACTACAAGAAAGCTCCGAAGTAAAGTGTTTACACAATTTAGTTGTTTGGATTCGCGTAATCGTTTCTTGGACTTAGCTGTCACAATGATTGACTTACATATTCCTCTCAAGATAGTTACTGATAGAACATACAATCACTGCTATGACTTGATATCAGTTAATCGTGATATTGCAGTTAAGTTACTAGCATCTGTTGAAGCAATCAATATACTTGATGATTATGCAAAGGAATTGTGTGAAATTATATTCATAGAGAATAAGTGTCGCATCAAATCATGCACATTTGTACATGTATGTCAATATGGACCTTTATTACTGAAATACCTTCAACACCAATGTGACCTGAAGATATTAGATGTGGGTCACCTAAATAGTAAGTATGCTGAAAAGTTTCAAGAAGTTGTAAAATGTCATACAAATTTAGAAGTGGTCTCAATTTGGTCTGAAGCTTATGATGACTTCATTGAAAGTTTATCAGAACTTATGTATCGACCATGTTTCCAGCAATTGAATGTTAAAGAAGGCTACTTATCTGAATCCGATGACTCTGTCTTCACATTTACAACTATAAATGCTGTCCATTCCTTACTGTCTGCATTCTTTCTCTCTCCTTATCCTGTGACATTTAGATTAGATATGAATATGAATCCTTATTGGGATTCTAATGATCTTATATTAAAAGTACCTCTAGCTATCAACACTGAACAACAATCAAAATCACTTGATATTTATGCATGGAATGATCCCTCTCTTATTCTCAAGTCACTTCCTCGGTACATTGTATTGAAATCATTGAAGATTAGGAGCAGTGATGCACTCTGTTTATTTTCTAAAGTGAAGTCAATCAAAGTAGATGAGATCACTATTGATACTGATATTTGCACTAACACTGATAGTTTAAGATCATTGCTCAGTATTGTGTCAGCAAATGATATGACTGTTTCTATTGAGTGCAACATAAGTCAGTCGCTCCTTGACATAATTTTTAATTCACTGTCACCATCTAAACCACCTTACCTTCAATTGATAGTAAAGTACAGTGGAGATGATCCTTCACTAATATTGTATGATACTTGGAAGAGATGTGGTGCCATCAAACTAAAGAAAGCTGTTATGATTAATTGGTGTAATGGTCAGGAAATAAAGAATCTTGAAGAGATGATGTGAAACACATACAGTGACATTATTTGTGAACTGTTTAATTTAAACACTTACCAAAATTAATATCTAACTGTTGTTACATGTAAATGGCACTGGGAGAAGATTTTACGTAAATACATGTACATGTAGATACGTTGTTTCTTCTGCTTTGATACATGTACATTAAATTGTTGTGTTTATTATTATTCACTAACACTGCATACACTTGTCCATCATTGTCAAATTATTAATAATTATTATTGATTTGATTGCTAAACATTATAGCTTGCAATTGTACATCAGGGCAAAATCAGTTCTTTAAAAGTATAGTTGGTACTTGTGAATTTATTTTTCAAAGGCAGTCTTCGTGAAGTTTGTCTTTAATGCAGTGTGTAAAATTTCATCAAAAAATTTTTTGTGAACCTATTAAAGGCATGCATTTATAAATTCTGTCCTATAATTAAAGCCACTAGTGTCTGACACTTATGAAATTGCCAAAATTTAACAGCCACTTTAGATAAGTTAATATTTATTTAATATCCAGGCAAATAAAAATAACAGCTATACAATCATTATGGTATAGTAAAATTATTTTGTATACTGTATAGCAGTTTTTTCGAGGATAATAATTTTTGCAAGTGACCTGTATCCGGAGGTTCACGAAATTAATTTTCACAAATTTCCAATACTCTGCCATCTTATACCGTATTAAACTGTTTTTCAAGGAATTTAATTTTGTGAATCTCAAAAAATTCACAAAATTTGTGAAATTGCTTTCCTAAAAACCCTGCTATACTATATAAATTACCTTTAAAAGATCTTGGTACGTCTTCTTGACGACACGCAATGTAAAGACAAGCAGCAGCAACTGCATCATTAGCTCTTCCCTTCAGAGTCTTCTCATCATTAACTTGCTTAAACAATGCATTACCTCTGTCCTATGAAAGAAATACTATAATAGTCAGTCTATTGATTCACAATAGTTGTTATACTTTTCTGGTTTGACACACAAATATCATACCAATAAGCCATTTTCTTACTATGCACAGCTACATGTATATGTAAGTTAGTAACATTTCAATATCTTTATTTTGTCATTGAAATTTCTGAGTGTGTGTGTGTGTGTAACATGTACAAGTATGTATGTACATAAGGCACATTAAGTGACACATCGAATTAATAATCCTCGCACAACATATACATGTACGTACATGTTAATAATATTTCTACCAAGATCGTTAATTCGTATTAATATCAAAGAACAACAATGTATATAGAGGACAAGTTTTAATTTAGAAAATAGTTAGAGCACACACACACACAAATACACTGATAGTAGCTTTAAACTTACAACAATGCTTCTAGGAAGATTAAGACGATCGGCCATATTGGCTATTTCCTTAAAGGCAGTCATTAAAGACTTGTCACCTGCTGATACCTAAAGAACACAAGCAAAGAAACTAATACACTGTAGCTTGAAGTGATATTAAAATTTGCAAATTCACCCAAAATTGCAATACAAAATGTCGTATAGCTTTAAATTTAACTACAAGACAAAGGAATGCTGTAAGGTATTACTAAATAGCAACAAAAGTGTCAGCATGAATATTCAAATTTAAAAAAATGGCGGGCATTAATTGGAAATCAGCAGCTGTTTCCTGAAGAAGCAACAACATGTACACGTACAGTACATGTGTAGATGTAAAAGCTACAAATTCATTTTGTTCTGCATTATGCTTAATGACAAGTGGTTGTAAAGTCACCAATATACTTGATAAAGTATAGAGAGTGTGTAAAAGGTGTAAACTCACTCCACTCTTTGAGAATTTAGGGAATGACTTCCCAGAATCATTAGTACCAGGTCGACCAGTCACTGGAGCAATGAAGGAAGACAACTCATGACCATCAAGCAATGGATTCTAATAATTTAATAATAAAATAATAATAATAGAATTACAGTATACTACTAATAATAATTATAATTAATAAAGTGCGGCACAAAATAAAGTGCACGTGATGTTATTTTTTAAAATCCACTCTTCCTTAACTCATAACTAGTCACAAGTAGATGTAGTTATCTACTTTCCTCTAATCTGTTTTCCTTCCCCCTCTCTCTTCCTCCCTCCCTCTCTTCCTCCCTCTCTCTCCCTCTCTCTCTCCCTTCCTCTCTCTCTCTTCTTACTTCAGCAGCACCAACACGTGATCTATCTGTTGCGTTTCTCTCATTACTGAATGTCCTCCATTCTGATCCAACATCAATAACTCTGCAAGAAATTAAAAAAATACCAACGTAAGGTAACAGAAATACATGTATTTATGTAAAGGAGTTTCTCACAAAAAATACTAAGTGAAATAAAAAGCATGCTTCATGAGCTGTAGTAGGAAGGGGCTGGCACAGCAAGACTACATGAGCTGACACTAAGTACATGTACATGTATTTTAAAATTAAAAAAAAATTACTAAAAAAATCCAACTTTGATTGGAATGCTCAAATTTCAACACAACACAAAAAGTACATGTATTGTATACTTACATTATGTAGGCATCGGAAATATATGTACGTGTAGGTTTCCCACAAAGCATGGTAAGTGAGCTAAACAGCATAATTCGTGAGGTGATAACAAGCATTATACATGTAGAAGTGTAGTACACGACTTTTTTAGGAACTTAAAAAATTCATAAAAAATCCAAATTTTACCGAAATCAGCTCAAATGTTCTACACAACATAAGAACATGTATATGTATCAGAAAAAATTATAAAAATGGAAATTTCTCTCCTATCAATTTTTGACAAATTTTGGCTAATGACACTGTACTATAATAGTACAGGGACTTTGGCCCGATTTCGGAGCACCTTTAAAAATTCTTTAAAAATCCAAATTTGATAGAAGTCAGCTCAAATTTTCTACACAACATAAAAACATGTATATGTATCAGAAAAAATTATTAAAACGAAAATTTCTCTCCTAGCCAATTTTTAAAAATTTTGGCCAATGATCCTGTACTATAGTACAGGGACTTTGGCCTGATTTCGGAGCACCTTTAAAAATTCATAAAAAATCCAAATTTGATAGAAATCAGCTCAAATGTTCTACACAACACAAGAACATGTATATGTATCCGAAAAAATATAAAAATAAAAATTTCTCTCCCATCAATTTTAAACAAATTTTGGCGACCCTGTACTATGTATAGTACAAAGATTTTGGCCAGATTTTGGAGCAACTTTTAAAAATAGTATAAAATCCAATTTTGATCGGAATTAGCTCAAATTTTCTACACAGCATAAGAACAAGTATGTGTTGTAGGCATCATATTAAATTGATTTTTGCAAATTTTATTTTAAGCAAATGAGGAAGGAATCCGTCTGTAAAATTTGTAACCTTCAAAAACCCATGTACCATACTCGCCCCAATTAACACACCCTCCTAATTATTGCACCTCTACATGGCTTCCACAATAAAAACTTTCTATTGAGTGCACCTCCAGGCCAAGATAATTATTTTTTAAGAGGTGCATTGTAATTAGAAAGTCCCATTGGTTACAGGTGTACTGAGTACTTTGCTAAGCACCTCTCTAAACAAGCACCTCCTGGAGCATTTCTTAATTGTTCCTATCTAAGCAATGCACCACCTGAAATATGTAATAATTATTTATCAAGAGATGTGTTAATTGGGGCGAGTATTATAGTACGGTATATGGTATTAATAATGCAATACTTCAGATGCTATTGCTAGTGTTCAAGTATAATGATGACGTGACATTAACAATACAAGCTGATAAATTAACAAAAAGATGTTTACGTCTTTACTCCTCATTACCAAAGGTATGTCTTATAATTTTATTAGTCATAACAAATCACACAGCAATACTACAATGAATACAATACCCCATGTATAATAGATGTATTCCAATACATTTACATGTACATGTATTCCAATACAGAAATACACAATACAATAATAATTATGACACAGTGCATTGTAATATAGTGTGTGGGTGTATCAACATCACCAGTTATTCCATTAGAGTATAGATAGCAATTTCGAAGGAGTAAACTTCAAACAAATTGCTAAAATGAATAGTGGGATGTAATTTGGCGCATTACTGGGCATGTGCCATTGAACGTGTCACATAAATAATCGTTTGGTCAATGGCTTTTTTCTGAAATTGACAAAATTTCCCTCTTCAAAATTATTAGCCATACGGTACTAATTTAAACCTCATGCATGGTAGAGCTCATTCTTTAAGAGAAAAGAGGTCATGGATCTTCATTTAAGGATAACGTTTAAAAGGAAGCAATCAATTTGGATAATACTATATAGCTTGAAATTTTCGTGGGTCAATATTTTCGTGGTTTGCTCCTAGTGGGGCAATTCGTGGTTTAAATTTCAAAATTTACATTCCACGAAAATTTCAAGCTATACAATATTACTGTTGACTTTGTTTCCTGTAATCCAACTACTTTATTAGTCTGATTAAATCTGCTATACTCACATATACATGTACATATATTTACATGAGATATATCTACATGACAATCATCAGGATACCAACCCATACATGTAGCTCCATTGCTCTTACATGATTATGAACATAACTAGCTCTACATGTACATGTACATGTAGGTCCATTGTTGGATCCCATTGGTAGTTTGGTAGTTGGTACACCAACACATATACCATTAAGCACAGTAAAGATGCTGTACATCTACAACCAATAACTTTACTGAATACACAATACTGTACAATAATAATAATAACACAATCACAACTGTTTGATAAACAATTATTACTAAAGGAATGGAAATAATTAATAGCTCCTCTATTATTAAAATTTTAAAAATAACAAATACCATACTACTCAGTTAAGACACTGTTTACTATATAAAAGTACACAGGACTATTATCACTATTATCATGAGTTTAAGGGTACACATTCCTTTCCCTTTGCAGGCCATTAATGGGAAGAAGCATTAGCTCTAAACAAACAAGTAAACACACTAAATGTAACAAGCTCACAGTGTGTCAATATGAAAAGCATAAACTATTAATGGAGCTAGTGTGGGCCCAGCTACTGACAGTCAATAGTACTATCTCTGAACTTATAAGAGTACAAAGTACACAAGTAAGAGTATTCTTGATATTTAACGACTCATAACTTGATGATAATAAAACTACTTTACTCACCTGTCTCCTACGACTAAGCCACATTCAGGACAGACCATATCCCCGGCGTGATAGTCTTCTATAAGATGAGCGTCGGGATGGTCATTACACCTTAAATTAAAGACACTACCGCCACCAGAGCGAGATTTCATTGAAGACGTTCCTTCAGCCATCTTTGAGTTAATTATTAATTAATTTAATTGAGTAACGCCCATCAATAACATCTCGTGAATAATTAATAAGATTAAAAATGACAATAAATCAAAAATTAATTCTTGATTTCATGAAAGCTCATTTATTACCTGAAAGTAGAGCATGAATGCAAATTTAGTTCACTCGATATACTAACCTGAGTATCAGGTGATCTTTCAAACCTATACTTCCTCAATATACTCACTAAACATGCTTTAGCCTCCATTAGTGCAAACCTCATACCAATACAACTCCTTGGTCCCCAACATTTGTTCAATCTACAATACAATACATTTGTTGATAATAAAACATTTGATGCTACATACATGCTGAGTTTACTTTATAAATTAAAATTAATTGTTTTGAGGTACATATAAGGTGACAAAGAACAGAACAACTTGTGTTTGTCCTTATAAAATATTCCTTGCAAGTTGCTACCACTAATAAAAATTATTGCATTAACTAAATTATGTTATATTGTCCGTATTCTTAAACCTACCCTGGATCAAAATTACGCTCAACAGCTTTCTGTGCAATGAAGCTACTGGTAATGGAAGACCAAGATCGGCGGAATACAACATGTCCCTTGACTGTAATAATAATATTAAAATTATTTCTATTCACTAACCATAAAGTCAGTAGTTGATACAGTATTCATTGCTGGGTTTGCTGCTTGACGAATAAGTTTGAAGCATCTTCCTATTTCTTTCTTTGAATGACGTGATACAGCACATAATAACTCTGTGTAAAAATAAAAATACCAATAAAAAGAAAAAATATAAATACATAGTTGCAATGCATACTGTACAAATTTTGGTTATTAATTAAAACAAAGAATATTAAGCACGAAATAAAATATAGTAACAACACCTAAAACATTAAAAATAATGAACTGAGTTGTATATGTAACCATGCACAATATATAATATGGATTATGGAGTTGTGTGTGCATTGAATGCATTGTAAGCTGTTATCGAGTTATTGGTTATCCTACCAGTATGTGTCATTTATATCTGGCATTACGTGTTTATTCATAATGTGAATATATAAGGTTTTAAGTCAATTATAAAGAATTTAGGCAAAATCTTGATTACATATCTAATTCTTGAAAAATGAATCTAAAACGCTAAAAATTTTAAACATTAACAGTGAAAATTTATGGCCAATATTAATACTATATGCTAAGAAGGTGTGTATCTACATGTGTCAGATTACTTTTGCTCTTTCCCTCCCTCTCTCTCTCTCAGTTAATGATAATCATGGCATGTGTATAATGTATGGACAATCAATTCCTAATATGGTAACAATGAATCCAGCTATAAACTGATCACACAAGATGTCATTGGAGGACAAGTGTTGGGTTGCTTTTAGAGAAGGAGATCATGAAGAAGCTGTTCGATTACTACCATTAGTAAAGGAACCAAATAAGATTAAAAGAAACTGGGATCATTCCAGTTTACATCATTTGTCTTCAGGGCAAGGCTGGTTAGATGATACAAAGGAACTCATCACTAAATATCACTGTGACCCAAATGAAAGAGATAAAGGAGGTCAGAATTGTCTTCATTGGGCTGCACGACATAATCATGTTGATGTGATGCGATATCTCATTGATGAGTGTCACTGTGATCCAATGGATACTGATGAGTATGGAAATACTGTTCTTCACAAAGCAACTGCTAATGGTTCGCTTGATGCCATGAAGTACTTGATCATTCATCATCACTGTGATCCAATGGCTACTAACAATGAGGGTGAGAATGTTCTTCAACACACAGCTAAAGGCTTCGCATCACCTGACGTA